TTGCTGTTTTTCTCTTTTAGATGTGACTTGTTTATAAATGATAATAAAGAAAAAAGAACAATGTAAAAAGAAAACTAAGCTTTTGTAATATCATAAAGTTACATTTGCACAACATCCAGAGGTCCTTAAAACACACTAACCCATGGCAGTTGTAGATCTGCTATGATACAGGCAGCTCTGTATGTCAAGATAAGGGACAGTCGCTGATTTCACTCATTTCTTTCTAAAACTTGTTTGTGTTTCCTTGTTTAATCACTTATATTTTTCTAAGTATGAGATATCCTGATAACGATGATGAATATTAATTTCAAGTATGTTTTTTTTTTTACTTCAGTCCTGCCTTGTTCTTGTTTTCATTACTTTAATTTTGTATTTTATATATGACAATAAAGCAGAACATGTACAAGAAAGAATACATTACTGTATCCCTGTCAAATAATACTTACATTTCCTCTTGAACATCGACATTTTTTTTGTTTTTTGTTTTCACTTTCTAATGAAAAGATAGCTAACGTTTAAATTAAACAGTGGGGTAAAAATCAGACATTATGGATGGATCGTTTTATTGTCAGTATCATCAGCAGTGAAGACTGATGGTCATATATAACTGTACATACAGAAACCTGACTTTTTGATATACATAGATATAAAAAAAATAAATCCACTGATTAAGGTCAGACTGTGCTTGAGAAATTGATAAAAAAAAATAATTTTGTTTTACCAACTTTGAAAGCGAGAGAGAGAGAAAAAGGCTTCACTAGTAAAAATTTATGGAGAGTTGAACCCAAAGTCAAATAAATGTATGCCAAAAAATATCAAAATGTCACACCTCACAGACTTTGATTTGTTAAAGACAAATTACTCACATTTGACTTTGGTTCACATCACGGGATTAGGTTTTTATCAGGTGTTTCTTAACTGATACTTCTGGAAACTTGAACACAAAAACACTTCTGAATGTCACCCGATGAGTGTTGTGGTTGGACTGTATCTACTGCCTTAGTCTTTATCTTCCTAATTATGTGTCAGTTGATCGCTTGTCCAGGTGGTATGTTCCTACATCCACGTCTGTCTTTGTCTCTGTCCAAATTTCTTTTTTCATTCACGCTTTCTAACATAATTTCAGTCGAGCGGCTGTCAGACACAATTTATTTCCCTTCCCTTCCATCTGGATCCTGATCAAACTTTACTGTGTTACACTGTGAAGAAGCCTGGTTGACTATAGGAATAATTAGGGGAGTAATGGCAGCTGCAGTTTTCAGTCTTGGTATCCAGGTCTCAAACACATGCACAATCATAGACATTTACAGTACAATAATGTGATGTTGAAACAGCCTATTTTCCCTGACACATACAGTTATATTCATGGCAGTTGAGTCTGTTGGGAGTGATTATTTCCATCGGTGTCCACCAGACTGTAAGAAGAGAAGAGAAAAACTGAAATAAAGACCTTTTGCATTTACAGTAAGGTAAGCTTAGCAGCTTCCATGTTCAAAATTGTCTAAATCTTCTTAATGTTAAATTTGACTACTTTATTTCATTCTTTCCTCCCTAATCTTTGCTTAAAGTTACAGAGCATAACCAGTTATTTATTTCTTTTTTAGTTTGTGACCAGTTTGAGCCTTTCTAGTTAATCAAAGAGTAAAGAAACAATATTTCAAATATTCTAAAAATTACTGTTAAAGCTAAACATCCTTACAGTGGGGACAGTTTGCATACTACTCAAGACACAGCTTGTTTACTTAAAATGTGCATTTTAACATTATATTATTGTATGCATCCATCTTTTTTTTGTTTGTTTTTTTGTTTTGTTTTGTTTTTTTTGTTTTACCAAAATTCGCATCCAAGCTGGCATGTTTGGGCATTTTAATGTAGGAGGCAATGAATTACACACATAATATAGGAGTGGATGGTGGCTAGAGTGAAAGCAGTTACAAAGGAAGGGATGGAAGTAGAAGAGAAAGGAAACATCTGGGACAATGTGGCAATGAGCGAACTGAAGGCCTTTTTGCACCACAATCCAATTCATTGTTTCCATAAACCTATTTTTTGACTGAGTCTGTGAAGAGCCTTAAAGAAAATCACAATAAAAAATTTAGTTCCAGTTCTCACGTCACGGGCCTCATAAAAGCAACAGACCTGTTTGATTTGCTTAGGATCTCTCCTGTTTCTGCTTCGTTCACTCCATACTATTGATCTGCTGCAGCTAATTGACAACACATTTAGGGCCCCTCACGCTCTTTCTGTCTCACTCTGCATCAGTCTCTTAAGATTTGTTTTGATTAGAGAGCTGCCTGAGCACGCTTTGAGTTGAATGAATGAATGGTTTGTGTGGGTTTACAACAGACTTTGTGAGAAATGTGTGAACGTCACTGCTTTTGAACTGGAAAATGTACATTCCTTTTGCAGTGATCAAAAAACCTTTTAAAAGCTCACAGGCCCTGTTAAATGATTATGTTGACCTTTTTAATAGTTTATGCGCATTTACTGACTAATACAACATTTAATTAATTTTGGTTGATTTCCAGAAGTAAAAGTTTTTAAACTCATCAGGCAATGGATAATCTAGTCATGGCAGCAATAATGAGTTGTGTTGTTGAGGATACGCAGAACTTTTGCTTTGGTAAAACTGTTGCTTTTGCTGCTTCTAACCTTTGTTAGCTGCTGTTAGCTGGCTGTTGGTAGCTGCTGTTATTGAAACATTCTTGGAAGTGTTTGGACTGTGATGATTACTGAATAAACTCTCATATGGTGTGAGACTGTATTTAAACTCTATATCAGAGAGAAATAGAGATTTGTAGGATACTCAAGCCTAACATTAGCTAACATGTTAGCTTAAAACAGCTGTTGTTGTTTAGCTGTCAGCTGTCTGGAGACAAGGGGTCGCATTTCTAATCCAGTGCATTCCAACCACTGTGCTGCGGCACATAGGTGTGCCGTGAGAAATGATCAGTTGTCCCGTGGAAGATTATCTGGTTCCACCTGGTACTCTAAGCGATCAGCGTGAGTAACAGGCCGAAAATTACATTCTCTTTCACTAGAGGGCAGTACTACCTGCTCTAATTAAATTGGTTGCAAACTGCCAGTAAAACAGAAGAAATTACATAATAGTTATGCTGTGAGTGAGACAATGCAGCACGTAATAACAATATATAAATATTTGAAAGGAAAAAGTAGTCAATCTGAACTGGGTCCTGACCTTTTTATCATGAAGCTGATGGTGCAGATACAAACTGAAATATCCCCCAAGAAGCCTTTTCTGCCTAGCCACATGCATAAAACACAATTAGTCAGAAAAGGGATGTCTTTCCCAGGACACTGTATTTAAATATGATGGGGAATATAGTGGCTTCCAAAAACTGAACCTATGTATTTTTAGTGGATTAATTTGTTAATTCAAAATTTGTTTGAAGATCTGAAACTTATATGTGACAAAAATGTAAGAAAAGAAGTCAGGAAGAGGAAAAGGACTTTTTCACAGTACTCTCTGTGTTTCTGCAGACTGCTGTAGCCCACCTCTGCCCTCCACAGATGAGCCACAACCACACCCTGGTCTATGGTGTTTATGAGGGGCATCTGCCACTTCCAGTTCCTCATTTATCAATTAGCAGGTTTACTGTTGTGAAGGGAAACTTTTTAACCCAGACCACTATATTATCCTAAATTTAACCAATTAGACTGTGATAACTAAAATGAATCAAGAAATATCCACTGCATAAAAATACCAGGAAGTGAAAGTAAAAAGCAAGTTAATAAAAGCAAACTAGAAGCGAAAAGAACCAAAGTGCAGAACACAACCCTTGTTTTACTTTGTTGGGATCCTACAGCAATTTTGTGGAAAAGAAAGAACTGAGAAGAAGACAGATTTGGAAAGTGAAGCAGGTTGTGAGTGAAAAAGTGGTGTCGTGGCCAAAAAAGCTCCTGCTTTGTTAATGCACTGTGTGCAGGCGTGTTGGCACTCACAGCATTTTAGGTCATTTCTGACTGAAAGTTCTCACAGATTACATCTCCACTGACAGTCTGACCTTGGAGAACAACTCATGATGTGAATGTTAAAACAAGGAACACATCCTGGTTCCACTCCTGACCTGATGTGCCGGGAAACTCTGGAATCCTTAGTTTTCGTTTTCTAACCACAG